AAACCTCGAACGCCTGTGAGTACAAATACTCCCTTCCTCCGATCCCATCCACTTTTCAAAGTGTCTGATTGGCCTGTGTGTGTTCCTATGTCAGTTCATTTGCTTCTCTTTATGTTTCGGTCACTGCATGGAGGCCCTTTGCCAAGGCTGTCTATTTGCTGTTTGACCCCGGGGTAGTCGTTTCTGGTTGTCCTGACTTTGCCCTGTGCATGGTTGTTCGTGATCTTGCTGTTTCTGACATCTACATTCAATTACTACCTCTAAAGAACTTGAACTAGGTAGACCAACGGGTAGCATTAACTTCAGGAGCTTTCTGAAGGATGGTCAGTTCTCATTCTTTAGGTAGCATATATACTCCACGCCGTCCACGGTCTGGGTGGCGAACAGACTCTCTGGTTCCAATTGTTCCACCTTCGCTGCTGGGGACATGCTTATCTTCAGTTTCCAACACCACTACTCTCATTGTGTATCGTCAACGGTGTGTGCCACATCATTGCTTGTTCAGGGATCAGCAACCTGTTTCGTTGTCCGCCCCGATTCTCTTTGTGCATGCTCCACAGGTTGTTCCGGTTCCTTTATTCCAAGTGGCAATATCCACTCCTATGTCTCCTGCAGACAGTCCAGCTGCCTACAGGCAGCCATGGGACCGTGTATTATGCCCTTCAGTGTTAGATATTCATGAGTCACGTCTACAACAGCGTGCGGTCCCCGCTAAGGATACACTCCCAATTCCACAGGCAGTCCCTACTCAGTATTCAGGCCCAAACGTTGAGGGATTAGCACATAGTTTGCCCGGATTGCAATTAACCCCACAAAGTGTACCCCACATGATGGATCTGCAAATGGCTGACCAGCATCGTTTGGATGAAACACATTGTTTTTCCCCACCAGGCACAGACCACACGGGTGATCTGCAAATGGCTGACCACCAAACAGCCCAGGACATTTTGGGCTTGCAACACCATGTGGGTGATCTGCAAATTTATGGCCCGCATCTGGCACACCATCCTGAGATCCCTGCCAATCTCTGTGGTCTGACTGCAACTAATATCTGTCTTCACATTCTTCACAGGCCGTTTTATACACTGTCAGACTTCCTTGCAATTACCCTTCAGCTTGATGCTGATCTTCCCTGCCGACAGGAAAGAGGCTTTACTATTGTTGTCCTACAAGTAGCAATGAAGGACTGCCAACTTGAACTACCCAATGCTCAAGAAGGGGAGTGGTTTAATCCTCCATCCCACATCTCTGCATGCATTGTACACAGACCTGCCCGTTACATGGCCATTGTACACGCCACTGACCACTGGGAGCTGTGGGACAATGGCATCATCGCCCATGCCATGAACGATGTTATCGATTTCTTGCATAATGATGCTGTCTTCTTGCCACACCAAACCGTCCACAATCTCTTTTATGTCAAAGTCTCGAAGATCATTTCTCTGGCCCCGTTCTGCAGCAGGACAATGTGCCAACACTCTGCCACCTTCTCCTTTGCACAACTACAAACACTGTTATTCTTGGCTGTAGCCACCATTGTCTCTGTCAGAATCATTACAATGACATGGTTTCTGCATCCTGTGTGAAGAGGACTGTCCCTCCGTTCCTGACTGCAGGCAACCTCGGCATCCGGACAATATATGTCTATTTTGCGGCCATTGGCATTATAACTGATTGTGTGGCCGTTTGTGGTGCCCGTTCTTCCTTCACGTTGGCCTGCAATCGACATGCCATTTGACAGGAGTGTATGGTGGGCATGCTCAACGCCAGCCTGCATGGCAATTGCTGTACCGACAATGCTCAGCTAAATGTTCCATGTCTTCATCCACCTCATCCTTTTAATGTATTTCCTCTCCGTCATCAAGGACAGACTGATTCTTTAGCCTTTTCTTATATTTTCCTATGCTTTCATCTTCATTCCACACTGCTTACTTTCACTTACTTTCCCTGCCTTCCTTTGGTTTGTCTTCTCACCGTCTCTTCTCTGTGTTTATCCCCTCCCCCTTTACTTTGCCTCTTTCTCACAGAATACGAGTGGGTCGTTATGGCACACGGGGATTTGGGCAGCCCACTCTCAATTTCATCATGTGGCGAGCCTTGAACGTGGGAGGCTTAGTAAAAGGGGAGCTAAAAGAAGAATGACAAAAAAAAATGGTTTCGGGGTGCTCTTCATGTTTGTCATGTACTTTTATCGTTTGTCTCGCAAAGTGCACTCTTTTAGGTCATAGATGTGGGCCACTATGGCACACGGGGATGCGGGCAGCTCGCGCTCAACTTCATCATTGTGGCGAGCCTTGTATGTGAGAGGCAAGGTGAAGGGAGAGTTCAAAGAAGAATGAGTTCAAAGAAGAGTGAGACAAATGTGCCCTTCATGTTTGTCTTGTTGTTTTTCTTCTTTTACCGTTTGTTTCGCGAAGTGCACTCTTTTAGTTCATAGATATGTAAAAGAGTGCACTTTGCGAAACAAACGGTAAAAGAAGAAAAACAACAAGACAAACATGAAGGGCACATTTGTCTCATTCTTCTTTGAACTCTCCCTTCACGTTGCCTCTCACATACAAGGCTCGCCACAATGATGAAGTTGAGCGCGAGCTGCCCGCATCCCCGTGTGCCATAGCAGCCCACATCTATGACCTAAAAGAGTGCACTTTGCGAGACAAACGATAAAAGTACATGACAAACATGAAGAGCACCCCGAAACCATTCTTTTTTGTCATTCTTCTTTTAGCTCCCCCTTTACTAAGCCTCCCACGTTCAAGGCTCGCCACATGATGAAATTGAGAGTGGGCTGCCCAAATCCCCGTGTGCCATAACGGCCCACTCGTATTCCGTGAGAAAGAGGCAGAGTAAAGGGGGAGGGGATAAACACAGAGAAGAGACGTACATGTGCATGAGGTAGTTCGTGCTACGAACTTGCGCCATGTGTTGCAGTTGCCAGAAGTAGCTGCATTGCACCCTGACCCGCAAGCGGCCGCACATGTGTTGCAGTTGCCAGAAGTAGCTGCATTGCACCCTGACCCGCAAGCGGCCGCACATGTTCGTGTATGTGACAAGTTGATGCCACCCACACGTGTCCAATTTTGCAACTTTACTGATGTGGCATTGAGTGTTGCTCCAGACATGACCTTACCAGACTCCTTGAACTGCGAATGCCGCAGGGCCTTTCCGCATTGTTCAGATCTTGTGGACGGCCATGTTGTCTCTGTTGATTACAATATCATCTGAGACGATAACCTTCGCAAGCTTTTTGAAGAAGGTTCTAAATATCGTTTGAACGGGGAGACTGCTGATGTGCTCCAAGCATTGGCGATCGGACTCGATGAGTACATTGCCAGTTACAAGAATACATTTGCTAGACACTCTCGATCTGCTTCTTTCTCGTCCCTTTCTCAAAAATTGCACAGCTGGCGTTCTGCAATCCTTGGGCATTGTCAATCCAATGCGACTTCGTCTTCCAATCATGTGAGCCAGCAACATTCACTTCGTTGTGCACATGCCTCCTTACGCCATCTGCAACAACACTTTGCCATTGTCCCTGTGGACAAATCATCCCACAATTTGGCAATTTGTTGCAAGAATTGGTATTTGTTTCACCTCGCTACCCATTTGGCCATCCCACTTATACTCGTCCTCATGAATCCGTCGCTGATGTGCTCAACCACCATGCACTATGGAATCACCATTGGGGTTATACCCACACTGATACCCTGCCTTACCTATACTATGTGTTGAAARCCCACAAGTYTCYTCCAGCTCTTCGCARCATTCTTGGAGTCACAACACAGAATACTTGTCCTGTCCCCCCACGCACTCGCTCTCGTCCTTCTATTCGCACCATTCATGAACGACCTCCTCACAAACCCTTGGCTAGCACAACGGCTACTTCGTCCTGTCTCAGCACTGCTTTGCAAGGCGTGATCTCTACTCTTCGTGAGAAAGACACTGAGCTCTATCAACGGGAAGGTGTTCGACGGTGTTGGATCGTCCAGAGTGCCGACGAGGTGGCGATTGACCTGAAAAACAATGTGTCCTCTCTACGTGGCCTCTCTCCTCGCACGGTTGATTTCACCACAATGTACACCAACCTTCCTCATGACCGCATTTTGAATAATGTGGCAAAGGCTGTTGATGAAGCTCATGCTTATGCTCTTCAGCATACCCGCATGCATTCGCGATGCAGAACCTTGAACATGTTTATTCGCGGGCCTCTGGCCAATGGACAACCGATTCAGGATCAGACAGCCTTTCCGTTTCTTCGATTCTCCAACATCTTCGCTTTGTTGTAGAAAACACTTTTCTGTACACTAGAGATGGCACTCTTCGAAAGCAAATCATTGGTATTCCAATGGGAACAAATGCTGGCCCAGAAATCTCCAATCTAACGCTCTATTGGGATGAAGCACGCTTTATTGATGACATTCGTCAACATGATCCCCAAGCTGCTTAGCGATACGCCTTCACTTACTGCCTCATTGATGATGTTCTTTCATGGGGGCAATTACCTCCTCCTTCAGAGCACTATGGGCTTGAGTGGAAGGAAACTACGGCTACAGATGGCTCGTGTACCTTTTTAGGTATGCATCTACGGGTACGTTCTGATGGTTCGCTTCGCATGAGCGTGTTTGATAAAGCGGCTGCTTGGGATTTCCCTGTTATTCGCTATCCAAGTGCTACCTCCAACATCCCTTCCCATCAACCGGAAGGTGTGTTCACTGGGCAATTGACCAGATTTGAACGCATCTGCAATAATTGGCATGACTTCCGAACTGCAGCGACAACACTCACTCGTCGCATGCTTTCGCGTGGCCATTCCACACCAACCCTCGCTAAAGGATGGACCTGCTACACACGCGCCCGCAAAGGTCGCTATCCTACACACGTCACCCGTCTCTCTCAGTGGTTCCGACGCATGATGCGATGGTCCTTGCATCACCCACTTTCTTCTTTATCCCCACATCGCGCTCGTCCTSTCACTGCTTGTTCATCTGCTGCTAATGCAGTTCCCACTGTTGCGGTTCCCACCGCCGCCGCTACCACCGCTGTGGTCTCCACTGCTGCAGTTTCTACTGCTGCTGTTTCAACTCCGGGTTTCACTCTAGCAGTTTCTGCTACGGAAGTTGCCTCCGCTACTCGTCTTGTCACTGCTTGTTCATCTGCTGCTAATGCAGTTCCCACTGTTGCAGTTCCCACCGCCACCGCTTCCACCGCTGTGGTCTCCACTGCTGCAGTTTCTACTGCTGCTGCCGCTGTGGTCTCCACGGCTGCAGTTTCTACTGTTGCTGTTTCAACTCCGGGTTTCACTCCAGCAGTTTCTGCTACGGAAGTTGCCTCCGCTGCGGTCCCTGCTACGGAAGTTGCCTCTGCTGCGGTTCCTACTACAACAGTTGTCTCTGCTGCGGTTCCATTTTTTACCACTTTCTCTGCTTCTGTACCTCGAATTTCTCATGCTATAGTTTTTACTGGTATAGCTTCCTCTACCCCAGCCCGACACTCGCGTCCTATGTTCTGACATCTTGCCGAATCCACCCCCCTTTCATCCCTTTCTGTGCTTGGCCGCAGACGGCTGYGTTCCTCCTCGCCACCCCCATCTCCTCCACGGTCTCGTTTGAGAACCGATTCTCCGGTTTCTATTCTTCCCATTGTTTTGCCTTTATTGCCTGTGACATCTTGTGTTAGAAACATTGCCACTCCTCTTATTGTGTATCATCGTCGACGACATGCACAACATCGCCACTTGGCYAGGGATCAGCGGCCTGCTTCTTTGTCTACCCCAATTCTCTTTGTGCCTCCTTTACGGGTTGTTGCGGTTCCATTGTCCCAAACGGACACATCCACTCCTATGCCTCCTGCAGACAGTCCAGCTGCTTGCACACAGCCACAGCACCATGTTTTATGCCCTTCCATGTTCGTTTGTCCCCCAGCTGTGCAACAGGATATGGTCCTCGCCCAGAGTACACTCCCAACGACAGTCCTTACTCACGATGTGGCCCCGAACGCTGAGGGCCTGGGCCATGATCAGCTCGGACTGCATTTAACCCCGCAAGGCATAGACCACACGGGAGATTTGCAAATGGCTGACCAGGATCATATGGATGAACCTCGTACTTGTGCCCCACCCTGTGTGGTCCCGAACGCTGAGGGACTGGAACATGATCTGCTTGGACTGCATTTAATCCCACATGGCGTAGACCCCACGAGGGATTTGCAAATGGCTGACCAGGACCATATGGATGAACCGCATACTTGTGCACCACCCTGCGCAGACCCCACGGGTGATCTACAAATGACTGACCAACAAAACCAGCCTGAGATCCCCGCCAATCTATGTGGTCTGACTGCAACTAATAGCTGCCTTCACGTTCTCAAT